CCATTACTCCTCGTTCTGTCATCCGATACCATTGAGAACAGTCTAGAGCCATCCTCTTTGGAACCCCCTTTCAGGTAGTTGAAAGCAGCTATCAAATCCCCCCTCATTCTTCTCTTCTGCAGGCTAAACAATCCCAGCTCCCTCAGCCTCTCCTCATAACTCATGTGTTCCAGACCCCTAATCATTTTTGTTGCCCTTCGCTGGACTCTCTCCAATTTATCCACATCCTTCTTGAAGTGTGGGGCCCAAAACTGGACACAGTACTCCAGATGAGGCCTCACCAATGTCGAATAGAGGGGAACGATCACGTCCCTCGATCTGCTCGCTATGCCCCTACTTATACATCCCAAAATGCCATTGGCCTTCTTGGCAACAAGGGCACACTGCTGACTCATATCCAGCTTCTCGTCCACTGTCACCCCTAGGTCCTTTTCCGCAGAACTGCTGCCTAGCCATTCGGTCCCTAGTCTGTAGCTGTGCACTGGGTTCTTCCGTCCTAAGTGCAGGACCCTGCACTTATCCTTATTGAACCTCATCAGATTTCTTTTGGCCCAATCCTCCAATTTGTCTAGGTCCTTCTGTATCCTATCCCTCCCCTCCAGCGTATCTACCACTCCTCCCAGTTTAGTATCATCCGCAAATTTGCTGAGAGTGCAATCCACACCATCCTCCAGATCATTTATGAAGATATTGAACAAAACCGGCCCCAGGACCGACCCTTGGGGCACTCCACTTGATACCGGCTGCCAACTAGACATGGAGCCATTGATCACTACCCGTTGAGCCCGACAATCTAGCCAGCTTTCTACCCACCTTGTAGTGCATTCATCCAGCCCATACTTCCTTAACTTGCTGACAAGAATACTGTGGGAGACCGTGTCAAAAGCTTTGCTAAAGTTAAGAAACAATACATCCACTGCTTTCCCTTCATCCACAGAACCAGTAATCTCATCATAGAAGGCGATTAGATTAGTCAGGCATGACCTTCCCTTGGTGAATCCATGCTGGCTGTTCCTGATCACTTTCCTCTCATGCAAGTGCTTCAGGATTGATTCTTTGAGGACCTGCTCCATGATTTTTCCAGGGACTGAAGTGAGGCTGACTGGCCTGTAGTTCCCAGGATCCTCCTTCTTCCCTTTTTTAAAGATTGGCACTACATTAGCCTTTTTCCAGTCATCCAGGACTTCCCCGGTTTGCCACGAGTTTTCAAAGATAATGGCCAATGGCTCTGCAATCACAGCCGCCAGTTCCTTCAGCACTCTCGGATGCAACTCGTCCGGCCCCATGGACTTGTGCACGTCCAGCTTTTCTAAATAGTCCCTAACCACCTCTATCTCCACAGAGGGCTGTCCATCTCTTCCCCATTTTGTGATGCCCAGCGTAGCAGTCTGGGAGCTGACCTTGTTAGTGAAAACAGAGGCAAAAAAAGCATTGAGTACATTAGCTTTTTCCACATCCTCTGTCACTAGTTTGCCTCCCTCATTCAGTAAGGGGCCCACACATTCCTTGGCTTTCTTCTTGTTGCCAACATACCTGAAGAAACCCTTCTTGTTACTCTTGACATCTCTGGCTAGCTGCAGCTCCAGGTGCGATTTGGCCCTCCTGATAACATTCCTACATGCCCGAGCAATATTTTTATACTCTTCCCTGGTCATATGTCCAACCTTCCACTTCTTGTAAGCTTCTTTTTTATGTTTAAGATCCGCTAACATTTCACCATTAAGCCAAGCTGGTCGCCTGCCATATTTACTATTCTTTCGACTCATCGGGATGGTTTGTCCCTGTAACCTCAACAGGGATTCCTTGAAATACAGCCAGCTCTCCTGGACTCCTTTCCTCTTCAAGTTAGTCCCCCAGGGGATCCTGGCCATCCGTTCCCTGAGGGAGTCGAAGTCTGCTTTCCTGAAGTCCAGGGTCCGTATCGTGCTGCTTACCTTTCTTCCCTGTGTCAGGATCCTGAACTCAACCAACTCATGGTCACTGCCTCCCAGATTCCCATCCACTTTTGCTTCCCCCACTAATTCTACCCGGTTTGTGAGCAGCAGGTCAAGAAAAGCGCCCCCCCTAGTTGGCTCCTCTAGCACTTGCGCCAGGAAATTGTCCCCTACGCTTTCCAAAAACTTCCTGGATTGTCTATGCACCACTGTATTGCTCTCCCAGCAGATATCAGGAAAATTAAAGTCACCCATGAGAATCAGGGCATGCGATCCAGTAGCTTCCGTGAGCTGCCGGAAGAAAGCCTCATCTACCTCATCCCCCTGGTCCGGTGGTCTATAGCAGACTCCCACCACTACATCACTCTTGTTGCACACACTTCTAAACTTAATCCAGAGACACTCAGGTTTTTCTGGTTTCAGAGGAACAGCCGTGTTAGTCTGTATTCGCAAAAAGAAAAGGAGTACTTGTGGCACCTTAGAGACTAACCAATTTATTTGAGCATGAGCTTTCGTGAGCCACAGCTCACTTCATCAGATGTGTACTGTGGAAACTGCAGCAGACTTTATATACACACAGAGAATATGAAACAATACCTCCTCCCACCCCACTGTCCTGCGCTTAGTCTCTAAGGTGCCACAAGTACTCCTTTTCTTTCAGGTTTTTCTGCAGTTTCGTACCGGAGCACTGAGCAGTCATACTGTAAACTAATGGGAGAAAAATGAGCCCGCATACTTAACCGAAAAAGATAAGCAGAGAGAGGGAAGGCAGGTTTTAAAGAAAGAGTAAAATGTGATGGAGTATACTGGCCATTCAGTGTTCAGAGAGCAAACACTTCTGGTTCCTGGAAGTAAAATGCATTACTCCTGTGCTTACCACACCAAGATGTGTTCAGGACCAGCAGGAGTTAAAAAGCCAGGATGCTTGGCAGGTGACCCTTTGACCCAGGCAGGAGGTATGTAACCTGCTGACCTTCCTTGAGAAGGGGGCTGGAAAGTCACACAGGCAAGACAGATAGCTTAAGAACTCTTGCCCAAAGCAGGAGAGAGGGAAGATTACCTTGATTTGGTCTATTATGTTTTCTTTTGCTTGCTACAGTTTGATGACTGGGAAAAAGGCAACTAGAAGGGCTGTGTTGTGTTAAAGGCCAAATACAGCATCCTAGGAAGGTGAAACTTTGCAGATAACAAGGCAGAGTGTCTGGTGCCAAAGTACAGTGGGGAACTTCCCTGCCCATTCCACAGAGAGCAGGAATGGGGAAACACACACACGCTAACTGTATGCATGCACGTGTAACACTGACAGACCCCGGTCGTCAGCGGGCGGGATCAAAATGGGGAACTCTGAAGCTTAGTGCATGAGCCTCTACCGCATAAGCTAAAAGCCAACTGGCCGTTAGCTAAGGCTGTAGAGCAGACTTGTTTTCTCTCTCTCTCTCTCTCAGTGGTCTCACTGCCACTAGATGGGACAGAACATCATACCCAGGAGGTGTGTGGATTACAAATGCACACACGCACACAGTAATTGCAGCCAAACCAAGTTGCAGAGTGCAAATTCTTGAGGGATAATATTCTATGTTCCTAAAACACGGAGCCATTGCTCTGATACCAGTATGATTCATACCTTATAAATACTTAATTTTTGGCCCACATTAGACAAAAAATTCAACTGTATTAACATTTGCATTTCCTTGTGGGGCTTTTACAATCTCTTATATATGGCTGTACATATTGTAGGATTTTGTCTTGCACTCATGTTTCATTTCCTTTTTGATTATGCTTCTTTAAAGTTTGTCTGTATAATAACACTTAGCTGAGTCTGCAACCAGTTAGTGACAGGGCACAAGGTAATTAACCGTGAGTTTAACCTTGTGTCACTTTTACAACTGGCATAGCCTACCACATGGCTGTCATCCAGCAGCTAGGTCATTCTTATATTATTCTGTAGACAGGGCCCCCAACAGTGCTGACGTAACCATGTTAGTTCTACCTTAATCGCAGTTAACTCATGGGATTAACTCAAAAATATTAATTGCAATTAAAAAATTAATCGCAATTGATCGCAGTTTTAATCACACTGTTAAACAACAGAATACCAACTAAAATTTGGCATGCTTCCATGCCGATGACGCTTGTTAAAAAAGAATGCATTAATTAAATTTGTGACTGAACTCCTTGGGGGAGAATTGTATGTCTCCTGCTCAGTTTTACCTGCATCCTGCGATACATTCCATGTTATGTTTCAGAGTAACAGCTGTGTTAGTCTGTATTCGCAAAAAGAAAAGGAGTACTTGTGGCATCTTAGAGACTAATCAATCTATTTGAGCATAAGCTTTCGTGGGCTACAGCTCACTTCATCAGATGCATACTGTAGAAAATACGGAAGATGTTTTTATACACACAGACCATGAAAAAATGGGTGTTTATCACTACAAAAGGTTTTCTCTCCCCCCACCCCACTCTTCTGCTGGTAATAGCTTATCTAAAGTGATCACTCTCCTTACAATGTGTATGATAATCAAGGTGGGCCATTTCCAGCACAAATCCAGGGTTTAACAAGAACGTCTGGGGGGGGGGGGGGAAGAGGGGGAGGAATAAACAAGGGGAAATAGGTTACTTTTTATAATGAATCAACCATTCCCCGTCTCTATTCAAGCCTAAGTTAATTGTATCCAATTTGCAAATTAATTCCAATTCAGCAGTCTCTCGTTGGAGTCTGTTTTCAAAGTTTTTTTGTTGAAGGATAGTCACTTTGAGATCAGAAATCGAGTGACCAAAGAGATTGAAGTGTTCTCCGACTGGTTTATGAATGTTATACTTCTTGACATCTGATTTGTGTCCATTTATTCTTTTACATAGAGACTGTCCAGTTTGACCAATGTGCCAGCAATGCCCCTCTGCCATGTACATTGGAGATTCCTTTAAATGATCTTCTGCTCCAAATTTTATTTCATGAGGGTGAAGGTACAGATCTGAATCGTGTCATTGTTACAAAACATTAACTGGAAAAAATATAGTTACCACACAGAAAGATTTAAAAGACTGACTTATTCTAAATTTATTTACCTAATGTAGTCCACTGTCCAGAAGCTGTAAGCAACTTCAAATTGGCGCTAACATTTGGATCATTAAAAAATGCCTAAAATTTCCAATTAAAAATGAAAGTTAACAAAATGAGATATAATATCAACTAAAGCAATAAATTACATTTATATGACAAAATTTTAGGGGGCTAATAAATAAGTGGCTTCAGTCTGACCTCTGAGTTTGCATACCCCAAAATTACATCCCCAGGTTTATGCCTCTGCAATTTTGACTAGTTTTTTTTTTAAAATACACCCACAAAGGTATTTATGTATGCAGATTTGAGGTTTTCAATCTGCAACACATCAGTTGTCCCAAATTATGCCTGCAGCTTGGTCCGATTAATTTTAAGTGTATTACAAAGTTTTGTAGAATAGGGAATTATCAGGATGCTTTTTTCTGCAGCATAATCAAAATCCATACATAATGTTCATACTTTCTGCACACCAAAGTTATTAAAATAAACCATAAATTACTATATGTAATCTCTACAATTAAACTAATTTATCATTTTACCACAAAAAAAGTGTTAAGGAGGCAGTAGATGTGTCTTTAATAAGTCTTCAAACAATTAAGATGTAGAATAATCCCAGAGGGAGCTCAGATGCTTTGCTACATTTCCAAATAGAATTTTTCTTTTATGTTACCACCTAATTGCGAATTCATCTCCAAGAAAAATCAGCTAACATTGTCAAATGTCTATTCAACAAATAAGTGAGGAAACCAACCTACTTTTACACTAAACAGATCCATTCTCGCTACTAAATCAAATCACTTCACAGAGGTGAATATATCCTCTTTTATACACAAGGAAATTAAGGAACAAAAAAGGTTAAAGACAAAGGACCTAATATTCAGAAATGCTAACTATCTATAAGACCAACTGAAGTCAATGAGAACTGCAGGTGCTCAGCACCTCTGAAAACATGGCCCCACTTTTTCAGACTTCTGAATCCACATGCACATCTAGTTTCTGCACATAATTACTGTGATTGGGCAGCAGATCGCATTAACTACATATTCACATGCATTTCTGAAAATCTAGGCCGAGGTGACTATCTCCCAAACATCAAAAGAGAAGTAATGGCAGCCAGGACTGGAAACAACCAGAGTCCCATTCTTTAGCTCTTATGTTGCCTCACTGGACCAACAGAGAAATGTTAACATTGCCTGTAAAATACTGTCATAGTGTTACACAGCTGACCAAAAATATGAGCATCTCACCCCCCAATCCACCTATTATTAAAGATACTGTAACTGTTTGCCACTTGTAAAAACATAATATAGCAGATATTATGGGAAAGTTTAAGTGTTATTCCAGCACAAAAAAAGTTACAGTTCCCTTAAAAAGGAACCATTACATGTGATAGATTTATAACTACCTTAACAAATTCATCCTTTTGATAGGCCTTAAAATGTTGGTCAAAACTGAATGCTTGCGCAGTGATTCTGCCATGCATGGACCTGAAACTCAGAACATGGTAAGTAATAATATTAAAAAACACACACACACTGGACACATCCCTTTAGAATATAACAGCAGTTGAAAATTGTCTAAATATTTACTAGCCCAGGCACAAAAATCACGTTCTCACCCTTTCATGACAACTGTTGTTAATTTTTTTTCCATTATATTTTATTCATCTGTCCAATAGATTAAAAAATTACTCTTCTAGGGCAAGAAAAATTTTGCAAGGCTGATATCTATATTATGTTATTTTAAATAACAGCAATTAACTTTACTTCAGGAACTGTCCTCCAAACAGCTCTTTATATGCTTGAAAAACTCTGAAAAGATCTGCAGTAAATCAAGCTCTAGACTCACCACAGTTTTACTGCAAAACAAGGCTGATGTTAATTAGGATTGCCAACTTTCTGATCACACAAAACCGAACACCCCTGCCCCCGATCTTTCCCAAGGCCCCACACCTTTCCTTTCCCCAGGCCCTCTCCCTGCCCCGCCCCTTCTTTGAAGCCCCGCCCCCGCTCGCTCCATCCCTCCTCCCTCCATCACTCGCTCTCCTCCACCCTCATTCACTTTCATCAAACTGGGGCAGGGGTTGGGGTGTGGAAGGGGGGTGAGGGCTCCGGTTGGCAGGTGTGGGCTCTGGGGTGGGGCCGGGGATGAGGGGTTTTGGGTGCAGGCGGGGGCTCCGGGCTGAGGCAGGGGTTGGAATGTGGGGGTGTGCAGGCTCTGGGATGGAATTTGGGTGTGGGGGGAGACTCCGGGCTGGGGCAGGGGGTTGGGGTGTGGGAGGTGGTGCGCGGTCCTGGTGGCGCTTACCGTGGCTCCCAGGAAGTGGCTGCCGGGTCCCTGCGGCCCCCTAAGCGCATGGGTGGTCAGGGAGGCTCCGCGTGCAGGCCCCTGTCCCCAGTGCCAGCTCCGCAGCTCCCACTGGTCATGGTTCCCAGCCAATGGGAGTTACAGAGCCGCCACTTGGGGTGGGGGCAGCACCATAGGCGCCGACTCCGTGGGTGGTTCGGGGCTAGAGCACCCACAGGGAAAAATTAGTGAGTACTCTGCACCCACCGGCAGCCAATTCACCTGTCCAATAGGTGGGATCTGCTCAGCACCTCCTCCTCCCCTGAGCTCATCCGGCTCCTCCACCTACCTCCCAGTGTTTCCTGCCTGGCCACCGCCAAACAGCTGTTTAGCAACTTTAGCACTCCGGGGCGGAGGGAGGAAGAGGAGCGGGAACGTGGCATGCTCAGGGGAGGAGGCAGGGAAGAGGTGGGCCCCGGGGTGGGGGCATTTGGGGAAGGGGTTGGAATGGGGGCGGAGCAGGGGCGGGGCCTCATGGAAGGCTTGGAGAGGGGGCAGAGCCGGGGGCCGAGGGGGGCGTGGAGCACCCATAGGAAAGAGGTGAAGTTGGCACCTACGGGCCAGCTCCCTGCGCGTCGGGGCCACGGCGACCTGACAGCTGCTTCCAGGAGCCGTGTGGGGCCAGGGCAGGCAGGGAGCCTGCCTTCGCCCTTTTAACGCCCTGGACAGCAGTGCTGACCAAAGCCGCCAGGGTCCCCTTCGACCGGGCGTTAGGGTAACACCTGCCACCCGGCATCCCTAAAGTTAATCCGTACCCTCAGCAGAAAGCGTAACATCAACAACCTCTTCACCCTCCTCCCCAGCCCCGCCCGGCAGATCCCGCCCCTGCGGACCCAGCAACGGCCCCGCCCCGTAGAAGACCCCAGGGAGCTAGCAGCGTTTCCCCGTCCCACCACTTGCGGAGCCGGCCCTGCGTGTCCCCGTTCTCCAGGGCGGGGAGGGTTTTCTGCGGGAGATGGCGGAAAGCGAAGCGCGGCCCGGACCCTTCATCCCCGGCCGACATGTTCCTCCCCTGGACGCCGCGCTGGTTACCATGGAAACGCACCCGGCACGTGGTGCCCCGGTTTTCAGCTTCCGCCCGGGGGCTCTGCCGGGCTGACAATGGTTCCGCCGCCCCAAGGGGCCGCGCGAGCTGACACTGCTCCCGGGAAGGGAGGCTCTTGAGCCGGCTCAGCTTCCTGCTCTCCCCGCTTCTGAGGTGAGCGCGCTGAGATTTCCCCCCTTCCTTGCTCCTCTCTCTCTGCAAGCACATATAATGCTGTGATTCAGTATCACTAGGGCCCCCAGGAGGTCAGCAGGCACCTGGCCGGCTGGGCCAGGCTTCCAGCCCCGGTTGGAGCTTCCCGAGCCAAGCCCTGGGCACGGTATTGGCAACCCCCAGCCTTTCGAAACCCGGGAGTGAAGCCCCCATTATCATGAGACTGTTGTTGTGCAAATGACTCATTCTGGCTGCTTGGTCTTGTGGTGGCTGAGACATCTGGTTCACAGTGGTAGCCGTGTTAGACTGTATCAGCAAAAAAAAAAAAAAAAAAAGCCAGGAGTGCTTGTGGCACCTTAGAGACTAAAATTTATTTGAGCATAAGCTTTCGTGGGCTAAAGCCACTTCATCGGATGCATGCACTGGAAAGTACAATAGGAAGATATATATACAGAGAGAACATGAAAAAAGAATGTTGCCATACCAACTGTAACAAGACCAATTAATTAAGATGGATTATCATCAGCAGGAGAAAAAAACACCTTTTGTAGTGATAATCAGGATGGCCCATTTCAAACAATTGACAGGAAGGTGTGAGTAACGGTCAGGGGAAAAAATTAGCATGGGGAAATAGTTTTACTTTGTGTAATGACCCATCCACTCCCAGTCTTTATTCAAGCCTAATTTAATGGTGTCCAGTTTGCAAATTAATACCAATTCTGCAGTTTCTCATTGGAGTCTGTTTTTGAAGTTTTTTTGTTGGAGAATTGCGACTTTTAGGTCTGAAATTGAGTGACCAGGGAGGTTGAAGTGTTCTCCGACTGGTTTTTGAATGTTATAATTCTTGATGTCTGATTTGTGTCCATTTATTCTTTTGCATAGAGATTGTCCAGTTTGGCCAATGTACATGGCAGAGGGGCATTGTTGGCACATGATGGCATATATCACATTGGTAGACGTGCAGGTGAATAAGTCTCTTATGGTGTGGCTGATGTGATTAGGTCCTATGATGGTGTCCCTTGAATAGATATGTGGACAGAGTTGGAAACGGGCTTTGTTGCAAGGATAGGTTCCTGGGTTAGTGTCTTTGTTGTGTGGTATGTGGTTGCTGGTGAGTATTTGCTTCAGGTTGGCGGGCTGTCTGTAAGCGAGGACTGGCCTGTGTCCCAAGATCTGTGAGAGTGAGGGATCATCCTTCAGGATAGGTTGTAGATCCTTGATGATTCGCTGGAGAGGTTTAAATTGGGGGCTGAAGGTGACGGCTAGTGGCATTCTATTACTTTCTGTGTTGGGCCTGTCCTGGAGTAGGTAACTTCTGGGTATTCTTCTGGCTCTGTCAGTCTGTTTCTTCACTTCAGCAGGTGGGTATTGTAGTTTTAAGAATGCTTGATAAAGATCTTGTGTTTGTCTCTGTCTGAGGGATTGGAGCAAATGTGGTTGTATTTTAGGGCTTGGCTGTAGACAATGGATTGTGTGATGTGGTCTGAAGGAATGTAGGTAAGTATAACGGTCAGCAAGTTTCCGGTATAGGGTGGTGTTTATGTGGCCATTGCTTATTTGCACTGTAGTGTCCAGGAAGTGGATCTCTTATGTGGACTGGTCCAGGCTGAGGTTGATGGTGGGATGGAAATTGTTGAAATTATGGTGGAATTCCTCAAGGGCTTCTTTTCCATGGGTCCAGATGATGAAGATGTCATCAGTGTAGTGTAAGTAGAGTAGGGGCGTTAGGGGACGAGAGCGGAGGAAGTGTTGTTCTAAGTTAGCCACAAAAATGTTGGCATATTGTGGGGCCATGCTATTGGGGCATTTAGTTCACAGGATGAGGTATACCACATGTTACATGTTGTGATAGGCATGTGAAAGACCCATGGATCTTTAGAGGTGTGTGGTGGGGACTGTTGATCATTGTAGAAGCAGAGATATGTCTGCATCTGTTGTTCTGAAGGCATCTGGTGCTGCTTTGAGATAGTGTATCCTGCTCTGTGGGGAGCTTGCTTCTGAAGATAAGGTTGGAGAGACTGGGGGTAGTTTGAAGGCCAGAAGAGGGGATTCAGGAAATATTTCTTTCAGGATGGAGTCCCCCTCGAGGATGGTGTGTAGTTGTTTGATGAAACCCCATTTGAGTTCCAGTCTGGGGTTGTATGTGACAACTGGGATGTGCAGTCAGAGAGAGTTTTATTTCTATATTGAAGCAAGTATTTGGGTGGACTGTTCCATGATGCAATCTACTTCTCTGGTGGAGTGTCCTTGTTTGGTGAAGGCAGTTTTGAGTGTGTTAAGATATACATCCTGGACTTTCTCCTCTGAAACATATTCTATGGTATCTGAGTGCCTGGCTGTAGGTAACAGATTTCTTGGTGTGTTTGGGGTGATTACTGGACCTATGAAGGTAGGTGTGATGATCTGTGGGTTTCTTGTATATAGTTGTCTGTAGGGTTCCATTGTTGAAACTGATTGTAGTGTCCAGGAAGTTGATGCTAGCATGGGAGTTTAATGGACAGTTCATGGTGCTTGAAATTGAGGTAGACATCTATGAGGGGGTTTATCTGTCCAGAGGATGAAAATATAATTGATGTATCTCAGGCATTGGTTTTGTGGTGCATTTGTCCAAAAATTCTTTTTCAGCGTGGTCCATGAAGAGATTGGCATATTGGCATCCTAGTATTTTCCGCAAAGGAAACTTGCACAACACTTTCGAAAGATGAGCCTGGGAGCTTAAATTCATAACTCTCCTAGGCATTAAAAATCATGGAATGAATAGGGACATTGGATTTATGGTTTATTACAATAATCTATAACTCACTAACTATCCCCCATTGCTCCCCCCACTTTCCTCCCTATGACTGGAGGGGTGTTAACGGGCTACTTCACCTTGAATGGTCCCTTGAAATATGTGTTAACTACTTATGCTAAACAATCTGGTCCATCTTGTATTAACTCACTCTGAATAAGTTTCTCAGACCTGAAAAGTAGCTCTGTGTAAGCTTGAAAACTTGTCTCTCTCACCAACAGAAGTTGGTCCAATAAAAGATATTTCTTCACCCCCCTTGTCTCTCTAAGTTGTTTCTTGTAAGAATGAGTTAGATATTTGCCTCACTGCATACCAAATAGCCACAGGAGGTGGTGGGTTTATGGTTTAGAGCACCTCGGATGCAGGAGACCCAGGTTTAATTCTCCCCTCTCCCATTGGCTATCTTAGGAATCTGCCTGCCTAGTGTACAGGCTTTTGTAGATCTCATTCTCCTGTGCCTGTCTCTTCCCCATTCACTGTATAGGGAGCATAGGTACGTAACCCAGGCTTTGTGGATTGCAGTGCTTTTTCAAGGAGCCTAAAAATTAGGCCTTGTGAAGCTTAAGTCCCTTTGTGGATGGGGCCTAATTATTTACAGAATCAGGTCCACAGAGACAGAATATTTTATCAACACACAGCTGTAGACCTTTTGTTTAAATTTAAAATAGCTGTTCCCCATCATGCAGGAGGTGCTGTGAGGAAGGGGGAGGAGTTGAGTTGATCTGCGGGGCCCGCAGACCCCAGGGAGTACCCTCATGGATACCAGTTTGAGAAATGCTAGTTTAAAAGATTGCCCTTATCTCAGTAATTGCAGTTGGGAACCCGCTGAATTATTAAACTAACTGCATCAGAAAACAAGTAGGGCCTAATCCTGCCTCCTTGTTCAGCCAAAGCTCTCAATGGAAAATGAGAAATACAGCATATCGAATTTAGTTAATGTTCATTTTAATGTTTAAGAAGATGTTTGAAAAGTTAAAGTAGGATAGTGGCATAAAGGTTAGGGTAATTTTAGAAAGTGTGAGCTCTCTGGATACTTGTTGAGCTGTTAATGGGAGATATGGGTGCATAAGGAGAGCAGATTTGTGCCCCTGTGGACTAATTTTTAAAATAATGCTTATTAAGATATCAGAAAGTTTGCATAATAGTATTGATCCTTTTTTTAAACATAGCCTACCTAAATCTAGCATAACCTCTTGCCCTTTTTATGATTCTTGCTGATCTCATGAATCAGTCATCTTGGGCGGTGCTAGCATCTTCCTTCAGTCACACCCATTGAACTAATCCCTCATGTCTGTAGCTTGTTCAGCTTCAGCGCTGAATGTTAGTATGTGGCAATAAAGCTTATTCTTTTATTTGTGCTAGGTTTGGCCATATAGCATAGCTTTCTTTTATCAACTCATTAATATGTTAGAGTCACTTTTCCATTATGAAATCTGGCCCCAAAGAGGCTCGTGATATTTTACTTAATATATGTGTTTACAATTTATCATGACCAGTCTGGCTTAAACAGGAGATCTTCAATGATCTGAAACTCAAAAAAGAGTCTTACAAAAAGTTAAAATTACAAAGTATTAATATAAACAAATAACGTAAGTATGTAGGGACAAAATTAGAAAGGTCAAGGCACAAATGAGATTAAACTACCGAGAGACATAAAGGGTAACAAGAAAACATTCTCCAAATACATTAGAAGCAAGAGGAATACCAAGAACAGGGTAGGCCCGATACTCAATGGGATGGGGGGTAAATAACAGCAACAGAAAATGTGGAAATTGCAGAACTGCTAAATGACTTTTTTGTTTCAGTTTTCACCAAAAAGGTTAGTAGTGATTGGATGTCTAATGTAGTAAATGCCAGTGAAAATGAGGTAGAATCAGAGGCTAAAATAGGGAAAGAACTAGTTAAAAATGACTTAGACAAGTTAGATGTCTTCAAGTCACCAGGGCCCATAGGTGCTGACTCCATGGGTGCTCCAGGGCTGGAAAAAATGGAAAAAAATAAGTGGGTGCTTAGCATGCACCAGCAGCCAGCTCCTCTCCCCCCCCCATCCCCCTGCGAGCCTCCCATCCGCCAGCAGCCCTGTCAATTAACTCCCCTCCCAGCATCTCCCCACCGCTGCAATCAGCTGTTCTGCAGCGTGCAGGAGGCTCTAGGAGGGAGGGGGAGAAGCAGAGATGGGGCATGCTTGGGGGAGGGGGCAGGAAGAGGTGGGGTGGGAGTGGAGCGGGGGGCAGGAAGAGGCGGGGTTTGTGTGGGGGTTGGGATAATGAGTCAGGTG